GTCAAATGGTTATATAAGCTCAAGTCTACGTAAACAACGCGTTAGCTTGGTGGGCGATGTAGGTTGCAGCCAAACACTGAAAGTACCTGTTAGTCTGTCACATTTGCCATGAGTTTCATCTCGCTTATACGGTTTACATGAAATTTATCCGCACAATTCGTAAAACAATTCAAATAGAATTCATGCAAATATCATCCGGTCGTTGGTGACCGGAGCAGCAACAAATTGAGGGGCCTCAGAGACATGTAGTTATGAAATTTTCCGGTCTGGGGTCTACACCCAGAATGGTATATCACCAGGGCGTTCGCGCTGGCGAAAATGTTGGGGGAGATTCAGGTAAATATTCGGCGCTTGCAACGTAGACCCTGATAGATTATTTACGTTCGAATCAGCTGGCTGTTAATAGTCATAACAAGAAATCTAGGCATGAAACGATTCGGTGACCAAACGATTCGTTCACAGGTCGTACAGTCCTAGGTCGTTTGAAAGGACGGCAAAAAAGTCTGCACAACTTTCTAATCATAGCAGCATTGAACAGGGTAAATGGGGTTAGATGGTAGTTGGTAGCCCTCCCGGTGCCGAAAACTCCCAGCTACCTGTCTTACGGGGCCGGTGGTAGTAGGGGCTATACGGGTGGGGCAAATGAGTGGAGGCGTAAATGGCGCTGGTAGTGTATGCCTGGAATTGACGCTCCGGCTAAAGTGAAAGCCTAATTTAAATAAGGTGAAAAATGCAAGAAGGGTATGGAAATGAGCATGGTTAATTAGAACGGTATGCGAAATAAATGCAGCCTTAACCCAGACTGGAAAAAATAGCAACTGAAGGTGAACAACCAATGGGAAGAAGGCAGTGTGTCTTAAGGTCATTCCGCAGTATGTGCGATAGTGCTCAAACCGACAGAATGGACATGAGAACACAAGAATCAAGCAGCGGCACGCAGGACGGCATAACGCAAGCGGGGTAAGACTTTAATGCCAAGAATATGTTTGGGCGGAAGAGAAAATCCGCAAATAATAGTTCATTGCCACTGTGGCCGCACTTCGAAATAAAACTATGGCAGTAGTTGTGTGCTATATGTGGGTGAAGAATCGGTAGACACCCTATCTGCGCGACGGTTGTCCTTTTCGTACACGATCACGCCGGACTCCGCAGGAGGTCTGGAGTAAAAAGACTCAAGGACGCAGGCAAACCGACAAAACGGAGACCCGCGCCAATCCGCCTAGGATGGTAATGAGAAGCATGATGAATCATAATCCGCCTAGGATAAATCTTTCGACCTTTACTAAAGCTTTACGTGTGGGGGTGCAATGCACTGAATCTATATAGGCATTATTGCATCGCCTCGTTCTCGGGGCGGTTAAAGTGAACAAGAAAGTCACCCTGACAGGGCTTCTGCGCGTGCACTCCGAGACATAATGAGAACGCAAGCACAGCTACTGAAATCGTAGTGCCTTAAACTGGAAGTGCAGGAAAGGATCGCTAACTGGCAGGGCTACCAACTACCATCCCGCCGTAAATGGTAAAGATAGAGAAAACTGTTTTTGCTAGACAACTGTCAGGTGACAAAAACGAGAAACGACGCTTTTATCCGTTCGCAGTCGACCGTGAGTTGTTATTTCAGAAAAGTGTTTTGTGAAAGAAGGTGATTTTGTATGGGGCGAGAACAGAATGGACACACTGTGCTATTCCAAACAAGTGTTAATTGTGAGAACAGTCATTTTGGCCGCAAAACGTTCTCGTTATTTGTTTGGAAGGATTACATGCATAAGTCGGCTTGAGCACAACCTGTAAATAGCGGGGCCAGTCGCGCTTGTTGTGGAAATAGCTTTCATCGTGGGGGAAACGTTGCGGCGAAAATGCCAACACCAGTCGCCCTACTTCTCCTTTGCGCATCTGGCTTGGTTTGTTCGGGGGAGGTTATGCAATAAGTGTGGCAGGATACGATAAGTCCAGATTGCTCTGTGTCCTGTGAATGAGTTCCCTGTGATTACATTTTATCAATTTCTTCAAATTAATCCCGAATAAGTTCTTGGCGGTTTTCGGTCCTGCAGTCCCACCTGAGTGGTGCCATATGGTTAGCTTTCAAAAGAACATTTAGCAGTGAGAGTATGCTGACTTTGTAAATATCACGCATTCGCATCTTCTTTACTATTTTAATTCAGCGAGTGACTGTGTCATGCGGGGAGGATTGCTCATACAGCCGCCTCGGTTACCCCAGGTATCCGTTTACCCGCGCTTACCTGCGCGCGTTCGAGCCCTACTTATGCTCACTTGATGATCCCAATCCAGCGATTGGCCAAGTAGACTTGTAAATGAAATTGTCACGACGGTGTGGTACTCCGTCTTTTCCGCGGCAGTGGCCATGCACTGCAAATTGCCACGCGGTTCTCACAGTGGCCTTCCAGTTGTCCTTATGTCCTCCTTATCCTCTACATCCGGTAAGTGGCTGTGTCGCGGGCTGAGTGTGTACACGCCACCTTCACTCGCTTCCCTGCGCGTGTTTTGAGCTCTGCTACAGCTCTCTATCCCTTTTTAATCCAGTGAGTGGCTAAGTTAGTTATGCTTACGTACTGTTTTAGTAAGCCAATCATACCGCCTCACTCAAGTGGTGAAGCAGAACCAAGCCTCACCAATTTCTCCTTCAGATTCCGTCCGAGCTACGAATGGTATGCATCTGATTGTTCAAAGGGCTTACTCCTAGTGCATTAAACAAACTGGCCAGGAATATCCAAACGTACAATCTTCGGCCTCATATATAATGGTTCAGTAAATTCTAAGATAATGTAATGGAGGATGGCAGTTAAGTAGAACTCAGTTCATCAGGAATTTGTACAGAAGGCAACTGTTGTGACCATTGTGTGTGATACATCGATCCCCTAAATTTCTCGATCAATAAATTCGAGAAAAAACCTTTAAAACGCCGGTTAACGAAACGCAATAAGATTTAACTTGAAAAGATTGATCAGAACGAATATATATACTAATCAGCTGTTTGTGACCAGGTAGCGAACTATTAAGAGACCCAACAAAGAGGCACTTTGGAAATTTTCCAATCTGCAATCTACGCATAGATCGGTGGATCCACTGTGCGCGCTCGCTGCAATGAAATGGCGTCTCACTGGTTTACTGGGAATGAAATACATATTCGCTGCTTGCAAAGTAGACTCAAATAGACTGGATCTGGTTAAATAAATAAATTGTTGACTGTCTTTAAGTAGCTTGCATAGGCCACAGCCGTCTAAAGGCAAAATCTTCAACAACGAAACGGGGGTTTTATCTGAAATTGGAACAGGGGTAGTGGTGTAACTGTGAACCCTAGGAGCTGATATAAGGTTAAGCAATTTCGGAATCGACAGAGGTTGCAAAAGAGGTCTGTGGAATGTGGAACATGAGTAGATCTTCACCATTTAGTGGTGTTTAGCAAATATTTGGTCGCAAGCATGCACTAGAATGCCTTTCCTGACGCTTATTCCATCAACTCCTGAGCCAGCTAAGCTAACTCTGCTCTCCGGGCAAAACTATCTACCTATATACATATGTGGAGGAATCACCATGGAGGCTGTATGATGAATATTTCTGCATGCACAGTAGGTGTGCTAACCCATGACAGGTTGGTCGAAATTCTGAAATGTTCTTTCAAATCAAAAAGTTCGCTTGAGTAGAGTTATAGTACTAGTTACCGTGGAACATAATCCCAAGGTATTTTAGTTGCTGGCTTTTGAAACAACTTTTTTCCAGCCGCCTGCAAAAACAACACAGTGCAAAACATGATTGGCATGGACTTCTTTCATTGACTTTCGATGCCCTGATAAATTCGAATATGTTTCAGGGAGAGCATGCATAAAAATATTCATTATATTGCTCATTTGGTAGATAATTACATTTTCAAATTTTATACTTGAAAGAACGGTATAATTCGGCTTCTAAAAGGTTCTGTTTATGAGATTTCTTAAGACCGTGAAATGCCGTTCGTAAAACATCGTGTCTCCGCATTTAATAATATTTTTGGTGGAGTTTACGATATGGCTCAAACCCACAGCAACATTTTGTGAACGTCATACGGTATTCTCATAATAGCGAAGATATGTTTGATCTTCCTTGCAGGAAAGGCATCCAGTATGCAGTTTGAAAACCTTGGTTGCAAGCGTAAATGCAAGCCGGGTTCAAAATTATTCGGGAATTGGAAAAGTTTTTAAAATCGAATCATGTCCTTTCTTCAAGTATAAAATTTGAGAAAAATGCCATGTTCTACCAAGTGAGTAAAAGAATGAATATTTTTAAGCACGTTTTTGATTAAATATATTTGGATTCAATAGGGCATCGAACTTCAATGCGGAAAATTCATACTACCAAAGTAGTCGTTTTACTAAGTGATGTTTTGGCAGGCGGTCGGAAGGAAGTATATTGAAGAGCCAGCAGCCAAAGTAATTGAAATATCCTGAGATTATGCTTTACGGTAATTTATATTACAACCTTACCTAAGTAATCTTTTCGAGTCGGAAACGCATTTTAGAATTTCGGCGAACATTTCGTGAGTTAACACTTCGACTATAAGTCCCTACTGCGAGTAAATGATGAAATGCCGCTGTCATTACCTCAGCAGTTTTACGCGGCGTACGAGAAAACCCTAAAAGTTGTTTTTGTTAGATAGCCGCCAGTCGCGTGAACGAGGAAAGATCGTCGGTACAGTCCTTGATTTTTTTACTACCCATTGTTGCATCAAATGTCGATCAGCACCAAGTGCGACAAATAACAAACTAAAACCTGTTCCCACAGACACTTCTTCTGGAAAACAATGTGATTTAGTTGAACATGAAAAAAAAACTACTGCTGCAGTGTTTTGTCAAGCCAGTGTAAATCGTGAAGGCAGTCATTGTAACGTCTAGACAGTTTTCGACTTTCCTTACGGAGAGGTGCTCGCTCGATTGACTATAAAAAGCAAAAATGAACACGACTTTTGTAGAAGTTTCGTACTTTCTCAAGGAATCCTTGAAGAGAAAATGCTCATGTCGTTCTTTCAGATTTTTATTTGTACGTGACTATTAGCATATTTGGTAATTGCATAATTAAAATTGTCAGTAGGCTTTAAGTGCAGCCTGTTCTGCCCTTGCGGGTAAGCTCTTTTTGATGACTTTTACTAATTTATTTCCAAAATAATCCTCACTGGGTCTTTTCTTTCAGACGTCGTTTGCGCTGTAGTAGGTATGCATTTGGCTGCTTAAAGTCGAACATTCGTTGGTTTCTAAGATATTTGGCTGCTTTTCTATGCCTCGTTGGTCATCTAGGCACCTAAGCTGAGAAGCCATATGCCATCGATTAGCTGCTGACTTTAGTCTACTATTTAAGGTGGCAGTTAGGGTTACGTTAGAGACAGTATTGCAAAGGATGCATAGTTGGATTAAGTTCATCAGAGATTTTTTCAATAGACAACTGTGTTTATCATGACGCGAAACACGTTTACTAGCAATGATTCTTAATAAAATTACTAAAAAAAAGTGTGAAATACTTAAACTGACTTAATTTGTTAATTGAGTCTCATGCTGTATTTCAATCTAAAATATATCTTAGCCAAGGAGGACATCCTCTGTGGAAACTTTGACGGGACGTTTAAGAAAACTACGGAACCGCAGACATTGACATTGTATACGGATTTTGTCCCTTCTGTAAGTTTAGTCTTTAACAGCATACTAGTCACGCTAAAGCTACATGCATGGTAATACTAAAGTAAGTTAATCATTCATAAATAAAAGCAACTTCTATCACGAACGAAGGCGAAATTTCGAGTTTCAGGTCTATGCATAAGTAAAGAAGAAGAGTCGAGCACCGGAACACTGTGTTTATTGTCCTGAGCTTTCAGACTCGTACAGGAGTCCATCCACAGAGGTACTTCTGTGCCGGAGCTCGACTCTTCTTTTTCGCTTATGCAACTTCTATGCTCAAGCGGGATGACACACGTATTACAGTAGGTGCATTAACTCATGAAATGTCAACTGAAATTCTCAAATGCGTTTTCGACTCGAAAAGATTACTTATGCAGGGTTTTAAAACTAATCATCATGCAGCATTATTCTTTTTTAACCCAGTTATTGCAGAATGCTGACTTTGGATAAACATCTTTTCGGCCGCATACAGGAACTACATTCTGTAAAAAATGACAGCTTAAATGGTATGAATTCTTCCCAGTGTCTTCCGATATGCTTAAAATATCAATTATATTTCACGGAAAACGTGCATAATAATAATAATCATTCTTTAATACATTCGGTAGAAAATTACGTCTATTTTATACAGAAAGAAAATTATACTTCGATTTTCTAACGTTTTTCCAATTACTAAATACTTTAGAACCCTCTCTGCTGTTACACTTGCGGCCAGGGTTTACAAACTACGAACAATATATTTTCAACGTACAAAAAGCAATACATTTCGATACGGTATTTAGAGTAGATCATATGGGATTCACAAAATTTGGCAGTGGATTTGAGCTGTATTGTAAACTTTACAAGCAACATTAGTAAATGCAGAGACAAAATGTTTTTTGAAAAAAAACTCACGGTATTAAAAAAATCTCATTATCAGAAACTTTTTAAAACCGAATTTTACTCTCCCTTTAAGTATAAAATTGAAAGAAAACGCAATTATCTAACGAATGACTAACAGTATGAATCAATAATAGAAATTGATTCTCCTTAAGTGGTCATTTTTTAATCGAGAGTGGTTTCTGCATGCGGCCACGATGAGGCTTGTTCGAAAGCCAGCATCTCACTGTAACTGAATTATTGTGTAATTATGCTGCTCGATGATAAATTTCAAAACCCTACTTAAGTAATCTTTTCGGGTTGGAACCGCATTTCAGAATTTCGGCTAACATTTCACGAGTTATCACACCTACCGTCTGAGGCAGGCATGACTGACTGAAGGAAATCGGCTCTAGCTAACGGAGATAGCATAAAGATTTTATATTTTACAGGAACATAGCCCGGACTATCTAGATCAGTATTCTGTGTTGCGGTAGTGCTTCGTAATAATGCAAGGCGTGCGACAAAATTAGAGGAAAATATTTAAAATAATAATGCCACAGCTCCCTCCGTTCATATTTTTCAAAAACACCGTCAGAATTCAAAACAGGAAGGAAAACCGTCTGCTTGTGTGGGATTCTACAATTGATGGAATTACGACAGCAGTTCTCAGTGCATATTGCTCAATATTTCGTGAACCGCCCACCTCGAATGTACATATAACTGTCTAGTGATTAGTACTACGTCTTCATTTGAGATGTTATGCCTGAATGTAACTTTCTAGTTTGAAGAACATAACGATTGGAAGTTTGAATATCCATTTAAAAGAAAATGACTGTGCGTCCGAAAATCGAACTTATGCATGCCGACTAATTCAGGGTAAGGGAGCCTACTTTATTTTTCTGGATTATTTATGTCATGCAAAATATTGGAAAATATAATATCTCGGAAACCCTTGAAGTAAACAGACGTCTTGGTCAGTATCTGACAAGAGTATTTTCGAATATGGTAGAAAATAGTTATTTTTCCGCCCGTAGTGCATGAATCGGGTTTCTGGCGACTTGAAGTCGATGATATTGTGACGGCCAATGTGGATAGTGTTGAATTAACGGCTTCCTCATCCCACGTCCCTCCAATCTCCGTCCAGGCTCTTCCGCTTACTGACAGAAAGGAAGGTGAGCGACACAAAACGAATGAGAAATTCACTATTTTATTTTGGTGATAGGGCTTAGTTCACGTTTTTCGTGAAGTATCTCTGAAATATAGGTTGGGATGACCTCTGTGAGTGATGAATAGCATTTTACGCCGCGAAGTCTAGAACGTTAATAAATATCCAGCCGGACATTTTGAGGGATCGATGCAGACCACAGGCCGCGAACAAGGATCCACCCTCGACTATGAAAAACACTCAAGAAAATAAGCATCACGAACGTTTCCTTCAATTGGACGTCTGGAAGTGATATCGTGACTGTTCAGAATTGGTAAGGTAAGGATAGGATATATGGACGTAATAGGTTTAATATCCAGAACTGCCTGCTATATTTAATTAAGTAGGCATTTTTCGGTGCAGTTTTTGGTCGGAAACCGGTCACGATCCAGTTTACGCAAATGACTTACGAATATCCCGAGGACCGACATTGTAGTATTTTCTAGTACATTTCGAATCAAACAATACTTAGTCATTATCTAAAACTAGTATTGCTAATGATTTCCCCTACCGCACAGGGCTTCTGGTTTCTGTCACTTTAGATAACATCTTCGCGCAGTCATCGGCTCCATTTGTACTATGTCCAAAGCCGCAACAAAAAGATGTTGTGGTTGACTTTGCCCTCCCAACTAGCATTTTGGATTGTTCTGTGAAGGTAAGAGTTTATGCCTGACTCGCATCTACACTGATTGCATCCATTGGATCAAGATAATGCGGCTGACTATTCTGTCTAGTTTGTGATACTCACTTAAGGGACCGTTAGAAATAATGAGCTTTGCAGATAACGCTGAAGCCATGACTTTGAAGATGGCAAACTCCAGGAAAGCACGGAGAGATTTCTTTGCTCATCAACACAAGCTGTCCAAAAAGATGCTTATGAGACTGGAGCCGAAAAGAAAGCACCCATGACATTTAAAATTGCATTCAATGCCGCAATATTCTCTCCACACCTCAAGGTGTCCGTGCATAACCCGGATGTTAGGCATAACGTTTTCTGGGGTGGGGCTTGCATATTTTGCATGTAGCCATGGAAGGCAGGCCAACTACTTCCCAAAGACATGCATTCGGTTGTTTTATCATTTTGGAGGTGTTTTGGCAGACTTCTGACAGTTCGTTTTGACTCAGATGCAAAAAATAGGTGAGAGAGTTAGGATTCCAACTCACGACTGCAAGGCGAAGACTTGAGTGCAGCCAGTGCTCTAACCACCTGAGCTACGAGACCCCGCCGGGGACCATGGATTTAATCATATCTGGGCTAAGCTACCCGTCCGGTCTACTGCAAGCTCTGGAATTTACCGAATCTGATGCAGAAGACTGACTGCCAAAGTAGGATTTCCTAAGTAATCAGCCCACAATCGACCAGATGACTACCAAACCACACAATGAATGGGTGCTTCGGCAGATTTTGAATAATTTATTACGAGGGCTTTGTAGGCATTTGGTGGATTCCAGATGGACTACGCAGGAAATCCTGCTTAGGCCGCCAGCTTACTGACTATGCAGTAGGCCTAGAGGGTAACTTGACCCAAATGCGGTTATAATCACGGCTTATGGTGGGACTGCGTAGCTCAGGTGGTTAGAGCATTGGCAGTGCCTCATCCTTGCTGTCGTAGGTTCGAATTCCAACTCGCTCGCCTAGTTTTTTTTGCAGCTGAGTCAAAATAAATCATCAAAAATCTGCCAAAGTACCTTTAAAATGATAAACCATACAACCGAGTGCATGTCCCTGTGGGGCAGTTGGTCTGCCTTCTATGAGAACGTGTAAAATATGCGAGTCCTGTTTCAGACAAAGTTACGCCTAATATTCTGATTGTGTACGGATACCTGCTGGTACTGCTTCGTTTCGCTAATGCCCGTTCATGTAAGGCTAAAGTTTTTAGTTTTTTCACAATATCTTACAAAAAGGCAGAAAGGATATTTTACCAACTGCTTTCAGATCAAGAGAGTTGATAACACGCTCAGAGTGCTTGCTTTGAGAATTTGTGCTTGATATGTTTTCGGAAAATTTTTAAATGTTTTTCCGTGAGTTCAAACAAGTTCGCAACGAAGGGAAGAACTAAAAAAACTGCTGGTTTTTTACCCCGTTACAAGTAATGTCATTTGAAAAGAAGGATTGTCTTCTTCGACCACACATATTATTGACGGTCTGTAGGGATAAATCAAGTCACCGCTCTCTGGACGTCTGATGCGCAAAATTCAATAGACTTCTAGAAGACTTGCTGAGCTTTTTAAAATTCACCTGGTTGGTTTCATTAAGATCCTGTTCTAACAAGTGTACTGAGGACAACACAGAACTTTCTGGACAAATGGCAACTTAATATGACATTTTAGGGAACAGGTATTTTGAAAGATCACCCTCAGTTTGAGACGCCCCGTGTTTTTATTGCCCTTGCCGCTTCCCCGTGGACGGTCGATTCTCAGCATTCTAGCATGCGAAAGCTTTTTAATCTTATTAGGTACCGTAATCACATCAAAGATGCTGATTAAAAGCCCCGACACGCGTGTTTCTCCTGTATTCTGCCGCTGCATTACATAACTGCGAGTGATTCGGCTCTTCAGTGGGTTCCCAGCATTCCCTGTCTGTTTTTGAATAGATACTTTAATTTAAAAGTCGTTGCCTTTTAATTTCCTCAACAACTAAGTGCTAAATTAAAGTAGATCAGCTTACACAAAGGTCTATAGGCACAGACCGAAACTGAATTTACGAATACTGGGGCCCAAGTCTATCAGCCAGAGGGGAATATTCGCGTAATATTCACTACCTGCAAAAAGGCGGATGATAGTACATTTTTTGCGTTAAAAGACACCATGCTAGTAGCACAGGTACTAGCTAGAAGCCCAGACACTCGTGTTTCGCCGATAATCTGCCGTTGCACGCCACAGCTGTGAGGGATTCTGTATTAGGCCTCCGTCTGCGTCTCTAGACATTAGTATCAACTGATGTACTCCTAGTCGGCAGTTAATTTCTGGAGAAATTAAAAGACAACAACTTCTAAACTCGAGTATCTACCAGAAAGCACATGGGAATGCTAGGGTCTCAATAAAGAGCCGAAACTTACGCATTTCTGCCATACAGCGGCGGAATACAGGTAAAACATGCGATTTTAGGCTTTTAGCTTGTACCTGTGCTGCTAGCATCGTTTCTTCTAACGCTAAAAATATGCTACCAGCTGCCGGTCGGCGGTTAATTACAGTAGATGTGCTAACTCATGAAATGTCAACCAAAATTTAAAAATGCGTTCTCGTTTCGAAATAATAAATTAAGTAGTGTTGTGAAACTAATCATGATGCAGCATAAATCTATAATGATCCAGTTACCGCAGGGTGTCGGCTTTCGAAAGAACTTATTTTCGGCTGCATGCTAGATCTATACTTCGCAAAAAATGACTACTTAACTAGCATGCAATTTTTTCATTGACTTTCGATGCCTTTGAAAATTCAATTATATTTCATGAAAAACAAGCATAAGATATTCATTCTTTTACTTATTCGGTAGAAAATCACGTCTTTTTCCAATTTCATATTCAAAAGAAGAGTATAATTCGGTTTTTAAAAAGTTTCTAATTGTGAGATTTTTTAATACCGTTAAATGGCCGTTTATGAAACGTCCTGTATCTGCATTTACGAATGTGGCTTGTAAAGTTAACAATATTGCATACATTTCTCTACGCTGTTAAGAGGAGACCATATGAGGTTCATAAAATTAAGCAGTGGATTTAAGCAATGTTGTTAACTTTACAAGCCACATTCTTAAATGCAAATACATGGCGTTTCATAAACGGACATTTAACGGTATAAAAAAATCTCACAATTAGAAACTTTTTTAAAACTGAATTATACTCTTCCTTTGAGTATAAAATTGGGGAAGACGTGATTTTCTACCGAATAAGTAAAAGAATGAATATTTCTATGCATGTTTTCCATGAAATATGTTTGAATTTTCAAAGGCTTCGAAAATTAATGAGAAAATTGCATATTAATTAAGTAGTCATTTTTTGCAGAGTATAGATCTTACGTGCAGCCGAAAATAAGTTTTTTCGAAAGCCGACACCATGAGGTAACCGGATCATTATAGATTTATGCTGCCTCATGATTACTTTCACAACAATACTTAATTTATCTTTTCGAAAGGAGAACGCATTTCGAAATTCTGGTTGACATTTCATGAGTTAGCACATCTCCTGTAGTATCACGCAGTTATTCCGCCATGGCTGAGGAAATATGGCTCAAATATTCAAACACACAATATCAATCTGTGCCTATAGACCTCAGTATAAACAGATCTACTGCAAGATTGCAGTTAATTCCTGACGAAAGTAAAAAACAACGGTCTGAAAGCTTTCCCTGTAATACGCTGCAGGTTGACAACTGCAGTCTAATCTCTGAGTTTAACTTGTGTTTGTGTATTGGTAAAGTTGAGAGAATCGGCTTGATGCTTTGAAGAAAAGGATGTGCTCACCAGAACGGGTTTATTTAGCTGAGGATATTTCAAAGAGCTTTGTCGGCTCTCCATTGTCAAAGCGTTAAATGCACTTAGTCACCCAGAAATCCCAAATGCTTATGTATTACACAGCCTGTCTTTGGTAGAGATGGTGGAAGGCCAAATAATCCACACAGAGGCCTATCCACTCCTGGTCTGAGGACAACCAGTCCAAGGCGATCTGCCTGGCCAGTCTTTTGAATTTTAATTTGATCTTGTAAATTGCAGGCTTAAGTGATTGAGAGCTGATCACGATCTCCACAATGTCACCCAACTATTCCAGCAGAAAATTGCTCAATCCTCATACAGAACTTTGTCGACCCTTAAAGCTAATGGCAGCACGCATTCCAAATAGCACAAGCGGAGTGTCAGCAGTCATCTGATAAAAGTTCTCTCGTCCTATAATAGATGATCACGCAGACGTAAGTGTCCTTGCAAACTGATGTTTCGAAGCGAAAACGACGAAATTTAAAATGCCAACCAGATAAAAAAAGGTTAAATATTTCCCAGAACGACGCGCCGACAAGAATTGTATATCAATTGTATGTATAGTTGGATGCAGTCTAAAAAGACCCCAGGCATAAAAGTCCGAGTAAACTGCATGCCGACGTATGACGAGCTGTTTGTGGCGTAAACATGAGTAAAATAATATGTTTACGGATACTTTTAAGATGTCAACTTTTTGTATCCTCGTTGAGCATTTGAGCAGTAGTTGCAAACAAGGTCGGCTTTGTTAAGATGATAATTTGTAGAAAATGCAATCATTGAAACGCGAAATGTGTCAGTTTCAATTTTTTAACATCATTTAGGTGTCCTTTTACATGGATGGGCGCGTCCAGTATGAAATTGGCCAAAACTCCGTAAGAACCAATGGTATGAGATTTGAGTATCTTGTAAACTGGAGGCGTATTGGGTTTGTCTAGATCCGCCTGACCGGTATTGCGTTCACTTTTGTAGAAAACGCAGTGCACGATGGTACTGGCGTGATGCTAAGGGTCTCCTTTTACGTGACGAGGTTTCAGGCCCCAAACAAGCGCTACAGAACTGTGAGCGCAATCGTTGCCCAGGGAACAGCAACAAGGAAGATCCTAACAAAAATTGTCGACTTTGGGTCAAGTAAGTCGCTCGATTTTGCCAGAGCTCATCGTTGAAATTACATGGGACTTTACACATAACTCGAAGAGTATCAGCCCACTTTCAAACTAGAATAGAAACAGTTCCAAAGATGAAATGGTGAACAAGCATGCCCTTGGAAAATCTCCCAATGTTATTTGGCAGTTAAAACAATAGTGTATGCTGTTGAAATTCGCCTGCCGTCAAGAGGACCTGAACAACCTAGGAAAGCCTTTAAAAATGCATGCACTAGGACTAAAACCCATAGACGGAATTCGCGATACTTCGACTAACAAGGTTTACATAATTGCAGTCCTGTCGAGAGGGCAGACTGTAAACTGACTTCTGGCAACTATTGCCGACTCTAAGGTTGGATAAAATGGGCGTGTTTAATGCACATTTACCTGTCGTATGGAGAGTGATCTGATAAGTTTGATCAGTGTATTCTCATTTGAACGACAAAACCAAAGCTTGTGATGTGGGTAAATAATTTAATATTGGGGTGTTCGAGTTTGCTAGAAGCCGATAGAAAGTGAATGCAAGATACTGAGTACTCGCATGAACGTTTTAAAAAGGGATGAAACATTTTGCTTCGACGAGTCATGTTTAGTTTAGCAGGCATATTGTCAATGCAACCGGTTTATTTTTCTGCTAAAGATATGTGCAAACTTATCGATTGCAGATGCAATTAAGCCAGACTTCGGGAAATGTTTAACACAAGGCCAACAGCAAAAAAGGCACACTAAATTGAAACAGACTGACCGAGAGATCTTGACCAATTCGGAAGAGAGTACGAATTAGACCGGCACCGCCAAAGATGACGCTCTTTCATTTCATTTTTAAGTACTGGCCGAATGAGCTACGCTTACATCTGCCTTCATATAGGGGACTACTTTTACGATTAAACCTAGTGCATGTGTAAGGAATTTTGAAAAGGCATTTTATGCCTTCTAGCGAGTGTGGCAGCTAATAATTGTCCAACCATTATTATGATGCTTTTCAGCCTAAATATGTTGGCGCATCGATGTTGCACTAAAGACATCACTCATTGATGCCTTCGTCAGGCAAAATAAAACAGTATTCGTTCTGACTACTTGTTCTGCACGGTTACTAGTGAAACTGTGTACATTAATGCTAACTTAAGTAACTACACTCGGATAAATCCTCGTGTTATCGTACTTGCAAAGGAAAAGATGACTTGATTTAGGATTTTTTACAATCTCCGATTTAACTATTCCCCAGAATGCATGTTTTGACCGATGATAGGAAATCGTACTTGGTAAGGCTGTTTCACAATAATCTGTGATATTTTGTACACAAACCGCATATAAAGGATAGAACCTCGGCAGTGTCATAAATGCTTGCGTTTGAAATCGTGTATATTGACGCACCGACTGAATTTCATCAACGCGTTCACAGTCCGCACGTCGGAATCCATGCGATTTGTTTCCAAAATGTACCTTCGACGTATGTGCCGCGTGTAATTACTGATTACAAAAATAAATTAACTAACGAAACATTGCCACCTTCGAAAAGTGAATTAAGTTGCTGGATTCATGAACTAGGTGCAAGCTCACAACAAATTTCGAGTTGTAAGAAGTCATCCCATGTGTGTAAATAATGAAAACCTAGAACAAATAAGGACGCTGGGGCTAATCAGGGTTTTTCTATGAGGAAAATTTCCCCCAAAACAGCACAACGTGGAAAATTAGTAAAATAGGTTTTTTAGCCGCACAATTAATGTCTGTAC